CTCTGAATCGTCAACCTGATAGGTGATTTTTGTCCAGAATTATCCTTGCTTTAGCATGGGGCAGAAAAGCTGTGACAATACTGCCTTAGTAGGACACGGAGAAAACAGTAAAAACAGTAACAGAGAGAAAGAGCTAAGAAAGATGGTGGTTCTCCTTTTCAAGGCTACCATGATAAAAAATAAAATTCCAGAGAGCAATGGAAATCTCTGTTTCCTTTTTTTTTTGTTTTTTGTTTTTTTCCTTTCTAGCCTTCTTAATCCAGTGAGAACCTGTCCTGAGCTTTGATGCAGACTGGCTCTATGCACCTTTGCTTTGTAACCTTTACTGATACGAGGATGAGTCTGCCCTGAGTTCATAGGTGTGGCCTCAGCACAAACAGGTCTATCCAAGCTACCTTAATCTAGCTGGCTTTGGGAATCCCAGCAGTATAGACTGCACAGGCTGGCATATTTGGGGGGCGTTTAGCCCACCGTGGAGCTCCTCTTGCCATTGCTTTGCTTGTCTAGGTCTCTAAACTGGCTAGCTCAGCATGTCTGCACCTCTGCTTGGCGTGGAAATGAACAAGGAGTGTGAACACCTGAGGAGCTGTGCTTCCCAACTCTGCTTTACAGACAAACAAACATGTTTTACAGACATGTTTTCTCTCTGTTTTGTGAGTAAAGAGCCTGAGTCTGGAGGGGCTAAGCGAATCGCTGCAGACACGTACGTAGTGAAGCAAAATAGGCAGAAGTAGATTTTGGAATGCCTGACTCTTTCTTCCAGGCTATTGTGGTGACAGAGCTGTTCTGTGGAAGTCTGTCTACCAAGGTGGATAATCTAATTTTAGCAGCAGGACACCCCTCTAGAGAAATCCTCTGATAAAGTACGCACATATTAATATGCAAACACCCGCACACATGTAGGGACACACACAGAGGCACAAATCCACAAGAATCTCAACAGGTGTAGAATGATCAGCATTAATTGCAGCTGAATTAAGTGCTTTTTGTTCAGCCTCCCTCCTGTGCCCTACCCACATATTTAACAATAGAAAGTTTCACACTAAATTACTCCTTGTATCTGGGACCTGATTACGTTAGGAGGGCAGGTGGAGGAAAAAACCACAGCCAGCAAAACCATGAAAATGGTTGTACTTAGAAGGACCACATGTAGAAAAGTTCGAGTTTGGAAGTCTGACAAACAAATAAAACTCAATATTAACTAGTTGCAGCAGGCTGCTTCCCTTGTCCCCAGGCATGCTGCATTTGCTGTGAAGCAAGAGCAAGGGAAGGAGCAGAAGAGCTGCTCTTATTCCAGGGAACTCAAATCACTGTGAGCAGTTCAAATGTGTAAATGCCTGTTTACATATTTTTTGAAATTCTTTTTATTTTGTTGTGTTTTTGTTATTCTTTTCTTATATCTTATCTAAGTTTTATGTTTGATTAAAGCATTCTGTTGCAGTGTAGTCATGGCAACAGGTTTACTTGAATGAATCTCTTTTTCTAGGAATGTAAGATTTAAAGGAAAAGAAAAACAAACCCAAACAAGACAAGTCTTCATGTGGTCCTGGCTCGGCTTTTATTCACAACAATGGAGGTGCAAGTGAGCAGTGAGTGAGTACAAAGTCATTTATGTGTGTTTGTCTCCACGAGTTCACTGGCGAGTCTGCATATGCCTGTGTCTATTCATATGTATATCTTTGGGTAAGTTTGCCAGTACATGTTCAAATACAACATACACGGGGAAGAGACTACGGAAGACCTCCGGTCACAGTGAAGCTGAAGGTGTGATTGCGCTCCTATACCAGCGCTAACTAGATAGTTCAAGTAACAGTTGCAGAAGAAGTACAGCAGCACAAACTTCAGTGAGAAATTGCTACAGAAACATAGGTCTATATTGGGGCACTTCCTGTGTGATGTCTGCTCAGAGTACCAGCGTTAATTTAAGAACATTTAGCTATGGCCGATGGAAACTTACTGAAATTGCAGGATAGACGTAGCCCAGACCAGGGCCTATCCGTACATAAAGTCTCACATTGCTGCAACAATAATTGTTCAGAAACATTTGTAGTGAAAGTTGTACAGCTGTCTAGTGGCATGCAGTTATACCAGCAGAGAGGCGATATATGCTAATCCCGTCGTTACTAGGGCATTGACTGCACTACATCAATTTCTATAAGGGAGGAGAATTAGAACAATACAAAACCTGTGTGCAGAAATGCCCAATGACTTAAAGGCTTTAGAATGTGTTAGCTCTAATTACTGTGTTTGAAATCTGTAAGCCAGCTCAGGTAGTGTATACTTCAGCACCTTCTAAATTGGTCAGGGCAGGTTCCACCTAGTCTTTAATTTGACCTTTCCCGCATGTATTAAAATCAGTTTACACCTTGATTACACTAGACTCTCCTGACACATTACTTCCAAAGGATTAGCTAACAAAGTTCATCTGCCTGGTCTGAACAAGCGTACTCTGTGTGTGCACACACACACACACACATGTTTGTATACACTTGTGAATTAAGGAAGAGACCCATAGTTTATCCTTTTATGGCATTGTTTCATGTTGAGATGGCACACCTATGTTATCTTCTTTTCAATGTTCACTAAGTTTTTATTGTTGCAACCCAGTAATAGATTCTAGCGATACCGAGATATTGGAAAGTCGGTTTCCCCGTGTATCTTTTTGTTACTATGATTTTAGGAGGGAAGGCAGGCAGGAAGTTAAGGAAGTGGATTAGCACATAGTGATGTGTAAGTGTTGGGACATGGCCAAGCCTTAGATTAATACATCATGACCATCACTTCATCATCTTTTGATGCAATGAGTTTTTCTTACCAATGGAGCAGATTAGAGTAGTACAATCAAAGGCTTTAGAAAGAAGAGAGAAAGAATCTGGTGAAGGTTTTCTTCTGCGTTACAGCTTTGATATCTCAAATCTTTCACAGCAGTTGCAAGTTAGCAATAAATAACATCTGAGGAGAGAGGAAGAGACAGGGGGAAAAGATGCATTTTAATTGCGATATGGGCAAAAATATGTAGTTAGTGGAGACAGAAGCACAGAGAAGCTGGACAGTACCTGGAATTGCAGAGAAGGTGGCTCTTGCCTTAAGAGTAAAGGGTCAGAGAAAGTGGTTAATACGACCGCAGTTTTGATGCTTAACTCCTTATTCCATTGGTGATTTCTGTAAGTGCTTTTTTACATCACACAGGCACCACTTGAATGTAGCTGAACTTCTTGTTTTCCAAAAGCTTTGCAGAGAAGGGCAATCTCTCTTGCTACATTAAGGGGACAGGAACACTGAAGTGTGCAGTCATTAAGAGTTTGCCATTGGTTTTAATAGAAATGGGATTATACCCTTTGAATTTAAACTCCTTGTTGTAGAGATCTCAGGGCTGATTCTGATCTAAGCTACCACAATGCACCTGATCTTCAGCCAGTAAGGAAGAGAGATGGATCTGTCCTTTTATCATCTGATGGGGTTGTCCAGTGCCATATCATCTGATAGCAAGTATAATGGTCTCTTGGTGCACAGCAGTCACTGGGTAATTCTTGCTGTGCACTATGTGTTAGCAGCATGCAAAGGTCTGTGAGCTACAAGGCCAGGTGACTGTTCACAGCGCAGAATATTCCATTATACCAAGTCAGAGAGAGAAGATCAGATGTGTCCCCTGCATGGGAAGTTATTTGTTATTTAGAACAAGGGAGCAGCTAGTTTAGTGATAGAGTCTGTGGCTTCCAGATAACAATTCCTTTGACTCTCCCCAACACAATTTTATTCTTCTTGTTTTGTGAGCATTAAACTACTTGGACTGTTCTCATAGCTATGCAGGGCACTTGCAGGGCAAGTGAATTTGGAAGAGGTATTTTGTGTAAATAGTTTGAGGAGAAACTACCTTCTACTGTCCGAGACTGTTCTCCTGGAAGCAGACAAAATGCCTGCATTAGGTAGAGATGTATGCAAGTTACAGCTCTGTTTGTTGTGTATCCTCATTCTACCATAACCCTACTTTCAAGAAAGAAAGAAAGAAAGAAAGAAAGAAAGAAAGAAAGAAAGAAAGAAAGAAAATGCTTACTAAGCTCTGTGGTGCTCCTTTTCCCCTCCAATAAATTGGTGTAAAAGGCTGGCGTCTGTATGAATTAGATGTAAAAAGGGTAAAGCCCAGCAGTTCCTGAGGAAGCAATTTTTAGAGGCAAAGCCCTTTGCAATGTCTTCCTTCCTAACCCTCCTCCCCTGAATATCCACTCATGCCCTGCCTGCTGCTGCTCTTGCTGCTGGGCTGTCAAAATATCTCTCGTAATGAAGCAGTCTGGCCTGAGGCTAGTATTACCTCCAATGCCAATCCTGCTGAGCATGACTCTGGCAGCGTGGCTGGGCTGCTCACATGCTGCAGCGAGCATAGAGCATGTCATGGCTGGGCTACACCTGGAAAGGAGCAAGAGACAAAAAGCAATGAATCTTGGCTGTTAGACAACCTTGATGTCCTCTGAGGCTCCAGAAGGGTAGTAGAGAAGACATGAGTTTGGCTGGGTCAGGCAGTGGTGCTGTGGCTGTTTGACTGGTCTTGTTCCTGTTTTTTGGTAGGCTCAGAGCAATTTGGTAGCATGTTCCAGGGACAGGGCTGTTGCTTCCCATCCCTGGTGTGATAATGTCAAGGTAATTTTGTGGGAAATACGGGGTGCATGGTGAGAGAAGCTGTTGACTTGCAGTCATTGAAGGGCTGAGCACCCCAGCTTCTTTGGGGGAAGAAACATGATCCAGTGGATACTGACCCAACTGTTTAAAGACCTGTTTGATTATCTGAGCTGTCCTGGTGTCAGGCCTATAGGACAGAACTTGGCTAGTGTAGTTACATTTGGGCTGTGAGGAACTCATGCCACACGACTGCTAAGGCAAGGCCAGCGAGACTTGCACTGTAGATGCAGCTACACTGACAGAACGTTATATCTTTTGGTTTAGCTTAGCTTAGGCACAGGTGAAATGGTGCCAGAGATGCATATATGGCATCCATGGTGGAAACATGCAAGAACAGAAGCTTTGGAGTAGTTTGTGAGCTCAGACTGCTCTTTTTACTTGTACCTGTGTGCCTGTTTCCTCCCAGCCTCAACCTGTCTTTCCTGTAGAGGGGCAGGGTTTGCATCTGCAATGAGTTTTTAAAACAGATAGCACAAAGGACCTTTGATCTCGGTTAGAAACTCAAAGGTTTACTGTCACAGACATAAATAACAAATTACATTTCAAAAGTTCCCCCTCCTTTTACAGGTAGAATAATGGAGGCCTATCCAGGATAAGTAATTTGCCCATGAAGCTGGTGGCAGAATGAGGAGTAAAGTCCTTATCTCTTAACTTTCAGATCTGTGCTTTAAGCACATTACCATCTTTCCTTGTAACATGCTTTACAGCACAGCCAGCTCTTCGCAGTCATTGATACGTTTGATGTGAGAGAAAGAAAAGGTCCAGGTTTTGTTTAAACCCTACATGATGTATTCCAGAAGTGAGGAACTAGATGTTAGAAAATTATCACTATTTATTACATTTATTGTGGCAGTGCCTTTGCGAGCAAGTTAAGATTGTTCTTTCTTTTTGCTAGGTGCTGTAGAAACACACAAGCAAAAGACATGGTGACTCGTGCCCCCAAACTTTAAAGCATTTTCCAGTCCCTTAGTTCAGCGTTTGCAAAGCACGTCTAGTTCTCTGTCTCACCGTATGCATGTAGATTTGCTAAGATCTCTCTGATCACTTCTCCAGTGGTGAATCTGTTTACACTAATACCAACAGCTCTAATGTTAGAGGAAAGAGCTGAACAACTGCAGACTCCCTGCTGTTGAACTCAGCCATCCAGACGGTGCTCTTGCATTTTATTATAGTGAGGAGGGATAGGGAGGACTTGATCGTAAATTTTAGTGCTTGTAAGAGACTCATAGGATCAGCTAAAGTCTATTCCTCCTGAATCCCTCCACACATCTGCCAGGACACCTTGTGAATGTGTGGGAAACCCTGCCCTGGCCCAACCCATGCGCCTCATGTTGGGCCACCATCATGAGGTCTTACTCTTCCAGTGCTAGACCCCTACGCAGTTTGGCCAATGCACCCATATCATGACTGACATCAGTGCCTGTTTTTTCCAGGAAAGAAGCAGAGCCAAGTAGCTGCTGCCCTTCTAGCATGAAGAGTAGCATATATAGTTATGACTAGGCCCAGCTTTGAACCAAGTTTCTGTACAGAGGAGAAGCAACTGAGCTGAGATGTAGTGGGAAAACCCAGTGGCAAGTCACCTTTTCCTTTAAGGAGAAAAGGTAAAGAGAAGTTCTCTAGGTTAGGAAGAGTTTCATCATAGCTATTTTCTAGGGGCAGACTGTATGGTCATGCAAAATGCTCTTAGGGGATTCGAATGTGCATCCAAGTCACAGGGATCTGAGAAGTCTAGAAGTACCACAGAAGGACTTGTTCCTTGAGGTTGAGGGACATTTTTGTTCTGCTCTCCTGTGACCCCTCTTGGAGGAACTGTGGAGACCTGTCTTTGGAGGGGGCTGTGGCCAAGCTCTTTCTACACTTGGAGGTAAAGTTGCCATTAGGAATGAAGGTAGAGAAAGAGTAGTAACCCTTATGGCTGTAAAAGAAAGCAAGCTCTGAGAAAAAAATATCCACTCCCCTTCAAAAAAGGAAAAGAAAAATCGGTCCCAGGGAGCCGACATACAAAGATTAAGCCAAATAGTAGTTCCGGGGCCTTGCAGAGCGCTCACCGCAGTTCTAGGTATACCAGCCATGAAGGTCTTCTAGAGGGGCAAGAGCAAACAGTTCTGCTCACTGTATTGCCTTCTCACCTGAGCTCCATCCAGACTCCTCTTATGTTCTTTCACAGAGAGGGCCTGTGTCTCCTGGTCTCTTCTGAGCGCTGTCCCTAGTTCATTAGGTGATAATAGGAAGTGATTTCTTTCCTATCATCTCCAGCAATCAGAGTCATTAAGAATAAGAACATGGAGAACCGAAATGAGAGGGTTTGATGGGTGTATATATTCACCTCCTTCATTAGAGCAAGACGCAAGGATTGCTCCCAGAGCTTGTATTTCTTGAGAATAAATAGGCAAGAAACAAAGATCATGGTCACGTAGTGC